GGCTAAAGGTCTGCGCTGATTGGCCTGATTTACTCAATAAGTACTCCTTTATTATAAATAATAGAAAAAAATAGTTCAAGACTTTTCGACTCAGTTTTACTCCTTCTATCTGCCTACGAGAGATTGTACGGCAATTCTGGGACACCCTGTATAAAGCGTGTGCGTGCGTTATTCTTAATATTGATATAATAAAATAATATAAAATAATTCTTATAGTCTAAAAAATCTTTCTCCGCTCTTTTACTTTGACAATCAATAAACAAACAAAAGAAATTCATTATTGAGAGCTTAAAAAGCAGCTTAATGAGAAGATGATGTTTTAAAGAATTATTCTAAAGGAAACACATTTTTATATAATTATTACGTACGCGTGTCACATGTCACGAATTACATCTTCTGGCAATATTGAAAAATATTGTCAATAAGATAGACATATATAAAAAATAGTTCTTCTATCCGCCAAAGTGAATGTAACGGCGCGCAAAAGCGTCGTAATAAAAAAAAAAAAAAAAAAAAAAAAAAACAACAACAGAATGGCGACTCTCAGGCTTCTTTTCTCTCACGTGTTTCTTATGGTTTCTTTTCAAGTTGCGATGATGTCTGTGGCTCAAGCCTGTGTCACGCTACGGATTGGGATTGAGATTGGGATTGAAATTTGACCAATCAGAAGAAAGAAAACCAATCCTAACTTTACTTCGCTCTGATTGGCCAAATTGCAATCTCAATCCAAATCCGTAGTGTGACATAAGGCTTTACAATTATTTACTGCCAATATTGAAAATTTATAGCATACGCTATTCTATATACGCTATTCTACGTCCTCGAGTATAGATTTTTATACAATACTGGGGTACGTTCCAAAATCCTACCTTGGTTACTAAAATACTATACTTTACGTCACGTGTACTATAGTTTTCGGTTATTAAGGTAAGATTTTGGAACGTATCCCTGGCAATGAATATAATCAAGAATGAAACTTGCGCTATAGTCCAAGTTCTGGTAACTTTTAGGCCTGATCATAAGCAAGGGCCTAAGTAAGGGCCACTGCGCATAAATCGCCGTAACGTAAGAATTCGTCCAGTTGCAATCGTTTATATTCGAAACTGGCGTCCTCGTTATTCGAAAATTCTTAATTAATAATTGATTAAATTCTTAATTTTCTCTCATTGAACTCAGACGTAGACTTCTCGCGCCTGCTTCGGCAAAGTTTTCATTCGACCATAGAACGACGTGTGTGGACTAACTTAAATGCGGATGCCTTTGGAAGTCGTATCTGCACCAACTGTACCAAACTAAATTTTTGATCGACACTATTGTGGGTACATAATAGCATTTTGCGTTTGCTGTGGAACTTTGCTGTGATCCTACATAAAGTCTGATTTATTTAACTAAATTTAACCGCTTACGCTACTGCTTAAGGTACGCAAAACTACTTGTTATTTTAATAAATATATTTAATAAATAAATAAATCAAGGTTTTTTTACCATCTATTTTTATAAACTAACCGATCACAATCATCACAAATTATATACAATAGTTTTGTACGTATGTATGTGTAATAGTTCAACACGCGATGTCGCAATAATAGCTACGACTACATACTTCTCACAATCATGTATTTGCCAAACTTGTCTTGTGAGGAATATATTGCTTGTTTCGTTAAAGAAGAGAGTCAAATTTGATCAATAATCAAATGTGAATTTTTTGTCATAAACAATGAATGAAAGTACGAAAATATTTTGATCAAGTTGTCTGAGATAATGAAAAATTTATATCAAGTGTGTGAAAAAGATACAAAATGATTTTAACATAATATAACCTATGTTTTCACACATATTTGTGCGAAGGTTTTGACACAAAAAATGTTTTATTTGAACGTTTTGTGTAAATTTAATTTCTAGATCGCTGCAAAATAATTAATTTAAAAATAATGTTTTAACAGGTTTTTTTTTAAGTTTTCATTTATGTGTAAATAATCTTTGATTGACTTTATCTGTAAATCCATGTTTTATCACAAGTTTTTTCATATAACAAATATTTGTTGTGTTTGTAAACGTGTGTATATATATATATATATATATATATATATATCAGAATATTATATATAATAATTTTTATATACAATCTGTTTTATATTTTAGATATTTTCACAATAATAACAAATATGTCATCTGATGTAAATATGCAGGCTGAAAAGGTATATATATATAAAATAATTTTACTGCATGCTTGGCATGATAAGATGTATAACAATATATTCCTATAAGAATAAAAACTGCATGTTGGATTGCTCTTTATGTACATATTGAGAATTGATTTATTCCCTTTCTGGAGCTGGACTTTCTTATAGTTAAAATATTCATTAATAATAATCTTTCTTTGGATCAAGCCCGATGAAGAAACAACTGTCAATAAAACTGAAGAAGAAGAAGGCAGATCATCTAAAGACTTGCATGCGGTACCTATTTCTCTAATTTTGCTGGTTTTTTTTTTTTTTTTTTATCCTGCTGTCTATTTCATTTTTGCTTCCAGTTTAACATCATAGAGTATAAATATAAGGTTGAAAAATATATATACGCACATGTGTATGTAACAAGAATAATATAAACTTTTTAACGATTTTAGCAAGACAATGGTCCTGTTTATGGAGGTTGCGAGGGACCTAATGCGATGTATGTGAAACTTGTCAGTAGTGACGGGCACGAGTTTATTGTTAAGCGAGAACATGCATTGACAAGTGGTACTATTAAAGCAATGCTGAGTGGACCTGGTCAGTTTGCAGAGAATGAGGCAAACGAAGTTAATTTCAGGGAAATTCCGTAAGTATAAAAAATAATCTATCAGAGATTTTTATTGTCCTTTTCGTATTTTAATATAATAAAAATCTTTATAAAAAAAAACAATTATATATATATTTCTTGTGTCGATATATAACAAATTTAGCTGCTGAAATTTCTTTGTAGGTCTCATGTGCTGCAAAAAGTTTGCATGTATTTCACCTACAAAGTACGTTATACAAACAGCAGCACCGAAATCCCCGAGTTTCCAATTGCACCGGAAATTGCTCTAGAACTATTGATGGCTGGCAATTTCTTGGATTGTTAAATATCCGTATAAGAAATATACATATATTGACAATTCAAGGATCGGCGCAGCTTTAATTATTTACGATGCTGCGTGTATCTTGTGTGTATCGTGATAATTGAGATCATATTTGAAAACACGATTATTGATCGCTTTGGACTCGTACTTGTGACAGACATTTAATCCAAAAAAAAAAAAAAAAAAATGTGGCGCACTCCTGCAATACTGGGTTTTTAGTTAGAAATTCTGAACATTTTATCTGTGTGCTATTTAGTATGGTATTATAGTGTACAAACGCGATTGTCAATAACATGACTTATCAGTCACGAATTTAATAGATTACATTTACACTACACAGCATAATAAAGTATGTGATTTATATCGCATACTTACAATATCATTTTAGTAAAAGTTAATTGTTAAGACAAGGAATTATATGTATTTGTTTTATTGTTGTTCTATAAAACTTGAAAGCAGATATGATATAAATTAAAGAAAATTAAAATATAACTCCATCAAATTTTATTTTTCTTTACACATAGTAAGAGTTTTTACACTATATTTCATATTAACATACATCATATAAAAAAAAGGGCAAAACTCTAGAATATTTGAGAAAGAAATTGTCTTTAAAAAAAAACTAAGTATCGAGAAAGTTTAGATACGGTAGGGATGTGTGCAAACGTTTTTAATGAAATTTAATTATTATAAGTCACAAATTTTTTTTATGCATTTTTATTATATACAAAACCATACATCCTAATATTGCTATATTCGTAATCAAGAGTACAAATTAATTAATATAATTCAAATTATAAAGTTTTATAGATTTGTATCGGTTTTAGCAATAATGATTATTTTTAGTTTTGTTCTATAATATGGCCAAATTTTAGCTATTTCGGTAATAAACTAGAATAAAATATAAAACCATTTGATCATAATACACTATGTTTTTATCTGTATATCAATTATGTATATATTGTGATTTATCTTTTATCGTATATAAGATATGAACAAATTTGTTTGTAAAAATGTAAATTTTACTTGCTCTTCATATCTTTCTCAAGATCCTTGAATTTAGCTTCCAATCGTTTAGAATACGCTGCAAGTTTGTATGCGGCTTGCTCTAACTTGCTGACACTGTCATCAATCTGATTGATGTTGTCAAGAATCGGCTGTAGTTTTTGATATTTGTCATTCAACGAGTCCAACGATTGCACCACGTTCGAGGAGACAATTTTCAACTCCGCGTATTTCGCGATCGTTTCTTTGTTCAAACGCTCCAGCAAACGGTAGTCCGCGTGTGTGGCGGTGAGTTCCTCCTGCAGATATTCGCCGGTCTTCTGAAACATTGTGTTTGCCAATCGGCTCAAATTCGGATCGTGTGGATCCAACGCCTCAAAACTGCTCGTGCTGGTTGAAAGCGTGGTGCCGCGTTTCGGCGACTCGCATCTTGAATTCTGTTCGGCCGACAGATTCTCTATAAGCGTCGACTCGATTTGCTCCTCGCTCTTCGACGGATCCATTTTTGTCACAACGCAAATATCGATTTAATTACAGACGCGATTAAAATCTATATAAACATTGTACAAACAATTGAGCGTTTTTTTTTTGCAAAACAGATTGTAAAACAAATAATTCCAACTGACTACTCAACTCTTCATACTGCTTTGCGTGAGCGTTGTTGTTGCTTTTGTTACTTCTTAACCGTACTGTAAATACAAAAAGTATACATTCTTTATTTAACTACAGATAACAGATATCAAATAGATTTGTGAATAGCAAAAAAATAGATCGTGTTTCACATCTTTGACTATTGTATATTCGGTAATACAATCTGTCAATAACATATGATATCTTCTATCTTTTATCCACTTCTATTTGCTTTCTCATTCCATACGCAACCCTAAGGCCAGTGTTACCAACCTTTGAATAAGGTTACTGATGCAGAGATCGTAAGCGAGTCTACAACGTCCAATAGCATAGATTGATTCAACACATCAACAATGCGATTGGATAATTTTCTCTTGGTCAGTGCAAATTTATTAAACTAAGGATCAATTGTATAATTCGATCGAATTGAATTTTCTATTGAGTCCCTTTAGTTTATAAAATTTCAATAGACTTAAACATAAGAAAATAACTTAAATATTTAAGAAAAAAATGAGACATAGATTTTTGCATATATTTATAAGAATCTTTTTTTTCTTATATTATTCAATGTGATATATAAATTATATACATTTACATATATAACATGTACATAATTATATTATATTCTATATACTATATGTATAAGATTATAACATTACAAAATGGCACTTTTGTAGTTGCATATAATAATTTAACTCTCAAAGTTATAATTTTTTGTTTTAATTTTATATTTCTTATAATAGGCCTATCTTTTTATTGCACTTTTATATTTAATATAAAAAATAGATATATCACTAAACTATTGGAAAGAAAAAGATACTATTTTTTTTTAAAATAAAATAACAAATAAAAACACAAGTGCAGTAAAAACAAAAACAGTCAACACTTTGTTCAACCTTATCTTTCTCTCTCGTGAGAACTTTTCTATCATCTATTTTCCTATTACTCACATGCTCAATCGTAAGCCACTTTGCAAAGTGCGCATATTTTTGTTAATTTCCTCGATTAAACTTCCTTGATTAACTGTCATTAATTAGGACTCTAACTTCATATTACGTGTGTGTAACTATATAACTATAAAGTATTTAATAATTTTGTTTATTATGTACCAAAATAGTGAATAAAATATCTCTTCATTGTAAATTCCAAAAAGTTATATCAAATTTATATTAAACTAACTAAAAGTATATGATGGAAGATATAATGTACATGTTATTTTTTTCTCCATACTTTGGTGTAAACTTTGGTAACTATATACCACCATGGTTTTCTTGTCAATCTGATGATGACTTGAAAGATAACACTTATCCGCAAGAGCTATTTATAAATTATGTAGCAAATAATATTTATATTAGTGTTTATAACCATTTGGATTATTATGTTGCCATTTCCATGTGTCCGCACCTAAAATATTGATAAATGTAACACACGTACGTATGTGCTTTAAAAGTATGTGTAACTTACACATGTCATCTATATTTCTTGTGGCATTCCAGTTCAGTTCTTGATTAGCAATACTAGCATCCGCATAACTAGCAGATATATCACCCGGTCTACGTTCAACTATTTTGTACGGGATTTTCTTTTTGGAAGCGTTTTCAAATGCGTGTATAACTTCAAGTACGGAGTAACCCTTTCCGGTACCTAGATTTATTGGTTTGAATCCCGTTGGATTACGAGTTTTTTGATAAATCATAGCTTTTACGTGTCCTTCCGCAAGGTCCATAATGTGAATATAATCACGCACGCCTGTAATACAAATTGTTAAAATTGTTTTTTTAAATTATCAATAACTTTCTCTCTATGTTATCCTATTGCATCCTATTGCTTACGAAATAAAAAATATACCGAACTTTACCTGTGCCATCAGGTGTATCATAGTCATCACCATAAACGTATAATAAATCTCTTTTCCCAACAGAAACTTGGGCAATGAAGGGCATTAAATTATTTGGAATACCATTGGGATCTTCCCCAATCAGACCTGAAGGATGTGCGCCAACAGGATTAAAGTATCTTAATGATATAACGGAAAAATCCTAAAAACAAAATCTTTTTCACAGATGAATTACACAGAAGAACGTATTATAACAACGCATACTTTGTCTGATATGCACAAATCCTTTAATATTTCCTCAACCATAAACTTGGTTTTCCCGTAAGGATTTGTACAATTGCCAGTTTTCGTATCTTCCACCAAAGGAAGTTTTTCAGGCACACCGTATACCGTGGCGCTACTTGAATAAATAAATCGCTTCACATTATTTTCTCGCATAATTTCCAACAAATTGATTGTCCCACTGACATTGACCTTGTAATATTCCAATGGTTTTTGACATGATTCGCCAACTGCCTTCAACGCAGCAAAATGTATGACACATTGAAACAAATGCTACAATAAAAAAAAAACATATATATATATAATACATATAATTTTAATTTTTTATCAGAAAGAAAGGTAACAAGTACATATATTTACTTTTTGAAATACTTTTCTCAGATCATTGATATTTGTGATGTCGCAGTTGATAAATGTTACATTCTTATTTGTCAATTTTTCCACTCTGAGGAGACATTCTGGTTTCTCATTACCCAGGTCTGTGAAAAGAAAACAATAAAACGGTATTTATCTATAATAAGCGTATAAAATGTTTCTTTTTATTGGTACGGTTTTATAGTGCATAGAAAAATAGAATAGAAGCCACTTTACTTTTTTAGTAGAAATAAATATATAAAATTATTACATTTCTAATAATAGATATATTAAAACAAATTAAATAGAGAAATTTTAGAAGATAACAATGTTAATATTTAATACGCACAACCATATGGTAATGATAAGAAGAGAGAGAGAGAAAAAAAGAGAAAAAGAAAGGAATATATATATACACAATATTTTTGGTCAATATTTTGTCAAACAATTCATGCCTCACCTTTATACGCATTGCTAAGATTGTCTATTACCACCACCTGAAAGTCTGCTTGCAACAATTCCAATACTGTATGAGAACCAATATAACCAGCACCTCCCGTTACCAACACATTCCAAGAGTTGCTCGTCATTGTTTAGTGCAAAATGCTATTTTGTTTGTATATATTTATATATACATAAATTAAATATATTATATATAATATATTATATATATATATATCAAATTAAAAATATATTATATATAATAAATTTATAAACTTGTCAAAAGAGTGCAGTTAGAAAAACAACTAGAAAGAAATTGCTAAGTAACTTATTATTTCTTACACATGCATTTTTTCTCAACTGTATAATACAATACAGTATTACATAAGTAAAAAAGAAGAAAGATGAAGTTACATATCAGTAACATTCTTAACATAAAAAATTACATGTTTTTTTTTTTTTTTATATTAAGTCAAAGAAAATCAAATATGTGCATATTTACAGAGGAAAGTTGTGCAAAGAGGCTGTTAGATTGTTTTCTCTTACGATTAACTTTTGCAAATTAAAAAAATTAACAAGTAAATTGATAACAAAGTCCCCGAATCGGGACTCCGTGTCGTTAACTTTGTGATAATCCCGATTGTACTGACCTTATCGCGACATAGAAAACCAACGTCATTGTAAGATGATGTGTTACGATCGGAGTTATATAATATTGACACCCCTCGCATCGAACATATGCTGCGATCGGCAATCGCGATAAGAAGACGCGTGTGTCGCACACGCGGAATCGCCAAAAGCCGCGTTATCTTTAGTTCAATTTTTTTCGATTCGATCGAATTTGTTTAAATTCCCATCCGCGTCTTCTCCAATTGATAACCGCGTAGTAATTTGCAATTTACCAGCGTATTGCGCACACGTGCGTTCGCGACAAGGTCCTCTTCGTGTTTTGCCACGTCGAGCAACGAATCAAATTGTAAACAATTTTTCCTCTTAACCTCCTTCTCCCCCACTTTGTATCTTGATTACATTGATGAATGGTGGATGAGTGATAAAAAAAAAAAAAAATCCTGAAACAGAGGAAAAACCTTCAGTTTTATCTCCGCACCGATAAGCTTTTTATCAAAAAAATGTAAGTCAATTCTTTCTCTCTTCCATACAAAAAGTTTGACAAATATTGAAAACACGGCTCGATACCAAAAACATTACAAGGAAATTTACGTTTTTTTCAGGTTAGGTTAGGTTAAGAAATCAATACTATAAAATTTATATATATATATATATATATATCTGCAATTAGTAAATTAGTTAATGTTTGTCAACACACCGTGTTTAATATATGTGTAATTTTTTTCTTGGCAGTTATCAACAATGCTATCGACAATTGTGAAAGAACATCAAAGCAAACAAGCGGCAAGAAAGGAAAGACAAGGTGTGTATGTGTTTAAATGTGTGTGTGCACACATATCTCTGTAAGATTTGTGTTTTTGCTAATTATTATTATGATAAATGAATTAAAATCGACAAATTTATTTATTACATTAGAACAAAAACGAAAGGAAGCTGTTCAAGCTGCAAACAATTTGACGCAAGCTCTTGTCGATCACCTGAATGTTGGGTAAACAAACTTCTTTTTTTAAGATTTGATGTATAAATTCTATGTATCACAACGAGACAATATATCAGATATGTGCTGTTATGATCCCAAGGGTGGCTCAAGCGTATTTAAATCAGAAGAAACTGGACGCGGAAGCAAAACAACTGCAAAATAGCGCGACCAATTTTGCCAAACAAACGCAATTGTGGTTAAATCTGGTGGAATCTTTTTCGAGTTCTTTGAAAGAGATCGGAGATGCGGAAAACTGGGCACGTAGCATAGAAGGAGATATGAGAACGATAGCTACTGCTCTAGAATATTCTTACAAAGGTACAAACCTGAACAAATTGAAATCTTGTGTATATATATATCTCTGTGTATAATCACATCGTAACAAATACCTATGTAAAACCACTGTGAATTATTTTCAGCTACGCAAGAGAATCAAAATGTGAGTAATGTTTGAGGGGATGATATTTTTAATGTTTCTTTTTTTTTGATAATTTTCAACATTTAGTGTATTCTGTGATATACGAAATAATACATTGAAATTCAAAGTTGTTGCGACTTAAGAGGGTACTGGATACCGACTATAGAGACCTGTGAACCGACGTTTTTAATAATCTAAATTTCTTTATTTTTTAATTTTATTTACTGCGCAACATTAAAAGCGCTTCTACAGAAGCAAATAAATATACAAAACTATATATAAAGCTTTTGAAAATGGGTATATAAATGCTTTTTTGAACTTGTTTTTTATTCACAATGATAGTATATGGTATCAGATATACATCATCACACTACGACGTTGTTCTCATCAATTAGATAGTCAAACCATAATCTGAATGTTTCATTAGAGGAAAACGGTTCTGCGTACATATAAGTATTTTGTTAACATCCGAGTCAACATCTTGTTCTACTTAAAAGTATTTATTCTGAAATGTTTATAGAGTAAAATTAACCCTCGGGGAACACACCTATTTTTTCAATCAAGAAGAACAATTTGGGGTCAATTTGACCCTGTCTACTTTTTGAGATGCTACCATTTAAAATCCACTTATCCGATTGGCTTGAAAAAATTTTCGGATATATTTTGAACAGTTTGGAATATACCTATATAGTTTTAAAAAGTGTCGTTAACATTATTAACATTGTAAAAAATATGTTACAAAAAAGCAAAATAATTTGATCAAAGTCGACGAACAGGGTCAAATTGACCCAGTGTGTTCTCCGAGGGTTAATAATAACAAGAAGAAGATTCTTTAGGCTCAGGAGTCTTTAGACTAATGTTTATAGTAATAATAGAAAAAATTGTATTAGATATCGAACTATTGTTATATATATGTATATGTATATGCGTGTGTAAATAAAAATGATACTCGTATATATTTAGGAATTTTTTTATTGAATGGGAGAAAAGGATGGATGAAAAGAAGTGGAGAGACGCAGCCGTAATTACCGTAATTACCTGTGCAGGTAATGACACAACACATAAAGGTCGTTCTATATTAGAAGCAAACGCAAGTAGCAGATCTTGCGCGAGTGATCAATCACTTTGATCAATTGGCTTGATTTAATCAAAGCGATTTAGTTAATTTCGCAAGAGACCTGTCACTTGCGTTTGAATCTTGCGACTAAAATATGTAAAACGACCTTAAAACATCCTAAGGTCACGAGCACCGAAGCGACGGGGGGTACGCACACAAGCGAGAACCGCCGTCCGTGCGCGAGAGTGCGGACGTACCTATTGTCTCCTTACTCTTACTTTGTGACTACTGAGCCACATCTGCACCAAACCTATTGTATATTGTGTGTGTGTTTAGTCTGGAAATTTATTGATAAAAAATCAAGAATTATGGCGGCCGGTCCGATCGCAGAGCGTAATCAAGGTGTGTGTGTTTATGTTTTTTTTATTTAATTAACTCACTGTTGCGAGTACTTTCTGTTAATTTTGTAATTGTTCTCATACATTTGTCTGAAAGGGAATTTTGAATAATAATATTATTTTTTAGTATCGTTAAAAAAAGATTATGCGAAGATAAGGTTAGGTTAGGTTACATCCTATTATCATAAGATAAATTTATATCCTAAAAATTTTAGTAAAATGTTCGTGTACATACGTGTATCTTTAGTTTTCTATATATAATAAGTTTATATATTTGTTTATCTCTACATATATTTATTATTATTATGTGTTTCAACATTTGTATTTAGATGCAACGATATATGTTGGAGGATTGGATGATAAAGTCACAGAATCTCTTATGTGGGAATTATTTGTCCAATCAGGACCCGTTGGTAAATAATTTATGTTATTAAAAAAATCTATTACGTCCTTCACAGTCTAAGTTTAAAACATGTAACTAAAACAATCTATCTTTTCAGTTAATGTACACATGCCGAAAGATAGAGTAACTCAAATGCATCAAGGATATGGTTTTGTTGAATTCATGGGTGAAGAAGATGCAGATTATGCCATTAAGATTATGAATATGATCAAGTTATACGGCAAACCTATAAGAGTAAACAAAGCTAGCGCGCATCAAAAGAATTTGGACGTCGGAGCGAATATATTCATAGGAAATCTAGATCCGGAAGTAGACGAAAAATTGTTGTACGACACCTTCAGTGCTTTCGGCGTGATTTTACAAACCCCAAAAGTATGTACTTTAATTTTATTACAACTGATTGCTTCGATAAAGATTTTATTATATGTTGTGTAGCTATATATATATTATTTTCGTTAATTTATTAATATTTCTAAATAATTTTATATAGATAATGAGGGATCCCGAGACAGGCAATTCGAAAGGTTTCGCTTTTATCAATTTTGCTTCTTTCGACGCCTCGGACGCGAGTATCGAAGCTATGAACGGCCAGTATCTGTGCAATCGGCCAATTTCGGTTTCGTACGCCTTCAAACGTGACGCCAAAGGCGAGAGACACGGGAGCGCAGCGGAAAGGCTTCTAGCCGCGCAAAATCCACTGAGTCAAGCGGACAGACCTCATCAGTTGTTCGCTGACGCGCCACCGTTGGCGCCGCCACCAATGCCGAATTCGAACGCAAACGCTCATCAGCCGGCTCATCATCCGCAGCATCACGTGATGCATCACGGAATGGTCGTGCCGCCTCCGCCACCGCCGGCAACTCCAGGACCGCCAATGGGTCATCCACCCCCGCCACCCGTGCCGCCGCCGCCATCCGGTGGTTTCCCACCGGCGAATATTCCTCCGCCTCCTCTTCCTCCGATGTCAATGGCCGCGCATCCTCCTCTACCGCCTGGCATGCCGCCGCCGTTGCCGCCGATGCCCGTGCCGACGTCTCAAGCGCAACCAGCCGCTTCAAGAATGATGGCACCGCCACCTCCACATTGGGCCGTGGGAGCGCCGCCGCAGGGACAATTTCCACCACCTCCGCCACCATCTTCCACCGGTGGACCGCCACAATTCGGACAGTTTCAACCACCGCCGCCAAGACCACCGCCAACTTGGCGACATCCGCCACCGCCGCCCGTTTCCCAAGGCGGTCCGCCACCTCCGCCTCCTCCTCAATTCCGACCGCCATTTCCGCCAAGAGGACCACCGCCGCCGCCGCCACCGCACGATGGCAATCAATATTAATACTAGTGTCTTTTACATATTGCGGACAATGGTCGATAAACATCTATTACATCTAATATATTAATTTAAATTTCACAAAAGTGGACAGTGGATATGTTACTGTCAAAAATTTGAAAAATCACCGATGACAATTAACATTCTTGTAAAACTGACTTTTTGTATTTAAATAAATTACTCACATTCCCATATTTGATTTCCGTGTGTCGATTCCGGATCAAATATGATTTAATATTGTAAGCAATCTTAATATTGTTACATCGGTTAAAAAAAAACTTTTACGTTGTGTGTATATGTCAAACGGTGCATGTAAGCAGCGCGCAACAATTGTGTGGTAATAATTGTGCAGTCCGCGAAGTTTTAGCTCGGTTATTGTATTGATTGGCGGGAGTGCGTGAATAACGTGCCGCGTTTGTTCCATCGATTATTTTGTGCCTGTCCAGCCTAGTCAATGATAGTCGAACGCGCGGAGAGTCCGCTGTAGTCAAACACACCTTTAACACCGTTCTCGTGTTTCGCGTCGAAAAAAAAAAAATCTATTTGTTATATTATATTTGAGAAACAATAATAAGAACATTGTTGAGAGTTCAGACTCGGTTGCTAAATAGAAAAACAAATTCGCATGTGACTCATCGAATTTTTTGTGCGACGTTTGATCATCGGGGTAAGGAAAATTAGAAATAAGAGTTGAACACAAGAGATCAACTTGTGCGTTCCCCCTGAGAATTATTTGTTCTTTTTCTTTTTTTTGTTTTTAGACAATTCACACGATGTTTCCTCCCGTCCATCGATCCGTTTTCATATATTCGCTACATTGTTGAGCGCACTTGGACATTTTGTTGCGAAACATGACCGGTTTACCGATATATGGAATAATAAATTGTTAACGATCTTATGTGCAACGGCGCACGTACACGTACATACGCGCGCGCACACACACAGCGAGTACACAAATGACACATATATAGACATGGCACAATTGTATTACGAGTGCAACTTTGAAATCAGAAACGACAACAATAGCAACGCGATCAAACCGTACATCTGCACCCCCGAATATTGTTTGTATTGCTGTTGCGACTCACACTGTTGCTTCGTGGTGCAACGGCGACCATCACGTCATATCTGGGAGATCTGGTACTTCTGGCTGGGCGTAGCTTTGCTCGCTGTCTTCGTCATTTCTTCGGTAAGCAATTTGCGTTGAGAAGATTGTTTTTTTTTTTTTTTTTTTTCAGCGCATTGTCGCATTGTCTCATTAAATATTCAATCTGGTTAGTTCTCTAATAGAAAACTCGATACGCGCAGAAATTTGAAGTATCTTTGGTGTTTTACAATTTTCGATACACACGGAAAGAAAAAAGTTTAGCTCTCGCAGCTAAAAATTAGGGTTTGATTTCCTAAATTTTGGCAGAGCGTTATATGGACACCTAAGCTCTTGGTGCCACAAGACATACGTATTTTGCTAATTGCAAGCAATTTTTGGCGATCGTATGGTACCAAGCTATAATTTGAAGTCACTCGAACTATAGTTTGGTACACGTACCATACGATCGCCAAAAATCTCCTTACATGTCGACATATTTGGGAATATCAGCAAACTGTTTCTTACGTAATGGAAAATTTTTTAAGCAGCTAAAGCAGCAAATTTCAGAGTTTCAGCAAACCGTAATTAGCTGTGGCAGAAACTATTTTTTTTTTTCCGTGTGTATGAAATAAGTTTTTTTTTTTTTTCGTTTCAACAAATTGTCTAAAGTGTGTGTGCTAAGAAAATTTGTGATTCGTTTTGAAACCAGGTGAGCAGCTACGTAGTCAATAATTACAGACATAATATTCAAGGTATTTCGTTCCGACACGATAACAGGCAGAATGAACGGCGGTTTAATAACAATCAACAACCTAGAACCGATCAGAATCAAGTGTCTATAAGTATTATTCCCACAACTGGGATGTTCTCGTCGCAGAGGAAGATGTTGATAATCGGCGCGCAGCCAAATCACACGCATATGAGTAAGACGAAGAAAGGAGAGAAAAGATATACAGAATGGAATGTTTTTTTTATTCAGCACTTATCCACGATTTGTGTTTACACACGTTGCGTATCGTTGACACCACTGAGCAAAAAACTAGATTATAAATTGTTAAAAACCGTTTTATAGATTTAATCTCTCTCACACACGCACACACAAATTAATTAAAAAGGAGTCGAAAAAAAAACGCGTCAAAATATCGTTACGATTTATTTGTAATCTGTCACGTGACTAGTGTTTTAATCGTAAGTTCGCACTTTCAAGGCAATCTGAATTGCGAAAATTGCACGAATAATCAGTCTCTCTCTCTCTCTCTCTCAGTCTCACATTTACACACACACACACACGCCGAGGAAAAACGTGTGGAAAAATAATTTATTGATTTATAATTCCAGCACCTATCGTTGCGTAACAAAGCGCCACTTTGTCGGCGCGCGTTTGCGAGACCGATTGTAAGACGCGTGACGTTCCGGTGCATGTATTTCATCACTTCAGGGCTTCTCTACACACTTATGGTAAATATATAATATACGCATAATTGCTTGTATGTGTTTTCTCATCTATACCGTTCTTCGTTTATCGGCAAAACATCGCGCTATTACGAACACGACACTTAAGTCGAGTATATATATATATACACCTTTTTTTCTCACTTCGCAGTTTGACGCAATAGTTCCAGTAGCGGTTAATAAGAAACATTTGCCGAACGCAATAAATAACTTCGAAATGCGAATGTGCGAGGATAAGCTTTGCGCAATTTTTGAAGATCGAGAGAATTTTCGTTACTCTGTAAAAATAAATATATATATCCTTGTGCGATTTAATTAATCTCAAACGGTTCGTACAACGAAATTAAAGTTATTATTATTTTTTTGCGAATTTTGTTGCGTCTCGCTATATGTAATTATAAAAAAAGAGACTTTGGGATTCGGTCAGAGTTGCTCGTTTATATAAATTATCTTTTCCATTAGGTTTCGATGAAATGTGCGGCAACGTTTTTTAACCGACGCTTATTCACCGTCGTCCACGATAATCCGTCGATCGAATTCACGCGCTTGCGACAAGACCTCGTGTGTGTGTGTGTGTGTGTGCGAAAGCAGCGGCGACTTTTTCCGAAGCTATTACGGGGGGGAATTACAGGCTTCGATCCGCTCTCATCGCATCTCGCAGTGATTTCGATCGATTTAAGCGATTAACGCATATCGCCTCGAGCAACATTTCACCAGCCACGCACATACACATACACGCGTACGGCGATAACCAGAATATAACGATACACACAGCACCGCGCGCTCTTTAGTCGGTTCCTCTAGCATACTCGCCTGAGCAACCTGCTCAAAACTCGTTCCCCGCGACTCGACCGCCGGGCGCAATTCTCATCTACAATTAAGAAGACATGCTCGTGTGTCCGCTTGTGTTCGTTGTGTCCGGGGCAATAGACGGGAATGAGAGTGCAGAAGCTAATTAAAAAAAGAACAATTCGACTCGCAGCGGTAATCCGCGCCATCCGCGCAACCGTGTTGACTCACCACCTTCCGATCTTCTTCTCGATCTTTTTCTTCGAAAGATGCGAAAACGTTCGCTTGAAATAAATAAATTTTCCACATCGGCGTTGTCATTTAATCAATTGTCTTTCTAATTACTTGACTGTCAACAAAAAATTTTAATTGTTTCTTATCGGTTAAATAAGTATTTAGTTTAATTGTTTAGTTTTATGTACATATATATACTTAATTTTTTTGACGGAAACGCGTCGCAGTTGAAAGAGATTTGTTGAAACGATTTTTCTTGCGCTAAAATCGAGATCACACGCGCGTGATCGAGCGAAAGAACGGGAGATGCATTGTTTATAAAGGAAACCGCTATATAGCGCGACGTTTAGTCACTATAATCGATATAATAAAATTCTTAACAAACTCCACTGACACGCGATTACTTTGTTGTGAATTTTACAGACACCGCGCACAACAGCATTGCAATACATTTGAGAATATTTTATTTTTCCATTTAATTGAAAACAACATTATCAAAGACGTTGTTGTTTAGTAGTGTGTACGCGTGTGTGCGTGTTAAAGAAAAAAGTTTACACATCTGTCGTGTAAAAACAATTGTTAGATAATTGATTTGTAATTGTTCAATAAAATGATACTTAATTGCGAATAGCTCACACACCTCCGAATGTGTTTCACAGGCCGAATTTCTCGATTCTTCTCGAACCTCACCGAAAAAATGGTATTCTTGTTTTTTGAGGAGAGAGATATCCCACTTACTTTAAGTATATTTTATACTAAAATAGGCGCCAAGAAGAGTTTCTTATTTTAAGAGGAAAATCCTCTAAATAATAATATTGATAAGAATATATACTGATTAGAATATAAAAAGCCTCTATAGAAAAACATATATATCTCA